CCTAGATGGTATCTACTTTCTGACCGGTTTTGTTATTTTTAGCACTGTACATAAAGGCTTGACTCGATTGTTTCACAAACTAATGGGACGTTGTTGATGACACGGCAAGACTGTCGTCGACAGTAGCCTAAGCTATAAGACAACTGTGGATATTAATAGCCTCAATTCTATTATTTGGATTATAGTGTAGCCTAATATACAGTATATATAATTTATGTATAGGTAGTGGTACGAAATATCTCTGTTTGTAGTGGTCTCAAGTAGGTCAGTGACAGTAAAGGGTGCAGCCAGAGAGAGTCAGTCAGTCCGGGCGGAACCGGACACTAGTCTGTCTGATTCCGGTCATGGAGCGCGTCCAGTAAACCCGAATCAAAATGGCGTCCGCCGGTCCAACCGACATGGGCTTATCTGCCCCTCCAGGTAAATTAAATCATTATGTTTTTTATGCTTATTTTGGCATGTGCGTTTTGTGTTTTTATGCTGTCTGTTGCCATGGATCAACTATTGTTTACCAGCACTGGATATATTATCTGTGTTTACTGGCCAACGTTACAATCAAGCCTTTTGTTCAACAACAACAACATAAATGTAATCTATTACGGTCGCCAGTGAGTAGTTATAATATATCAGCAATTTATCAGATTTTCTTATGTGGGATTTATTGAGTTTAGTTGATCTATGATCTGAAGTTTTTCCTGAAATAATCCAGATCGATGATGTGGATCTGTGGCTAATATGCTATGCTAACTATAGCCCTTATAACAAACATATAACAAAGCTAATATTAAAATAAATAACCTACGTGAATGAATGCAGTTCAGTTACGATGATCTTTTTGGTTATTGTTCTATTACATTGGGGTGGATTTTTTGCTAATGAACGAGCCACCCCTTATGAATTTCTCTCTATAATGTTGTCGAGCGTTAAAAACAAAACAACACAACACACATTTCTTACTTTATAATTTCCTTTTTGAGAGAGAGACTGAAAGAGAGAGAGAGGGAATTTTTCATTTCGTTTTAAAAAAGATGTTAGAGTTTGGTCAAATATGCACATTGCTTAAAGATATTACGTTTTTAAGTAAGTTAGGCTAATTTACTTCATTTGGTAACATTCAGTTTGTGTAGTGTATTGGTGTATTGTAGCCTAAATCATGAGAAATTACACGATATTTAGGATATTAATAAATTTTCTCCAATAAGACATGACACAACACAACGTTAATATTTAAAACTAGCTCAATGCTTATGTTAAAAAACGGTCAGGTTTTAATTTACTTCGTGTGCTTGTTCTTTTCACTGACACACCCATACTTACTAAATCAATTATATATAAAAAAAGTAAAATAGTTTTATCATTTAACGTCATAATATGTAGAGTGCTTAAGCCAGATTAAATGTATTTCCAAACAGTTCCTTTTAACAGTGGTGTTGATTGAACCATGGCAAACATGAAATCCTATCCTAAAATTTATTTTACTGGCTGTGGATTAGAATGCTATCAACTATAAGTTTAACAAAATGTAATTTTTAATTATCTAATTGGTTATTGGTTACTGGGATGTAAATGGCATTAACAGTACATGTCCTGTGAGTGTTTATTCTCTTTAACTCCCTGTCTGTCTTCATTGACTTCTGAGTAAAAATAGCTTCCCCTGGGAAATGAAGTGGAGATTGACCTCAGTAGTCTGAGATATTGAAGTTAATCAGGTGTTCATTACTTGGGTGGTTTTGTCTGTAAGCTCACAACATAGGCTAATGGAATTTTGTGTGGGTAACCCACATTAGGACATAGTTAGCACTCTGAAATAAGTATTTTTAGTGCTCTCAGACACACGCACACAGTCTTGATGGTTGCAGAGGCTGCTCTCTTGCTCTAATTATAAATGTGAAAATGGGACAGAAACCAGCTCACTCGCCCAGATAAAATGGGACAGACTGCTGAAAATCTAAACCTCAAGTCTCATCTCACACACAGGACATCCTGCCACAATTCATGATCTCAAATGCGTGATTGTTTCTGTGCATGAGGTAAAAATTTTGTTCCCTACAACTCTTAAAAGAGAGTGTATGTCTTAAGCTTGGACTAAATATAGTCTAGCTCTATAGACGAGCCATGTGTTCTCTAAGTGGTCATTTCACTTGCTCTGCAGTTTAAGGATGTGGTGCAAACAAAACGGGTATTTGTTAAGACAAATATGTTTTAGTGATAAATTATATGTTTTTATATGTTTTAATCATTGGTTATGGTGTAGTGTCTTTTTGCTGTTGGTGTTTCTTTTTTTATCTCTCTGCCCATTCATGTATCCATCCACCCAAACAAACAAATATCCATCCATCCAAGCAAACCAACACCCATACACCCAAAGCAACAAATCATATAACCCAACATCCTCCCATCCTAACAAGCAACAAACACCCACCTGTCCCAACAAAAAATAGCCATACATTCAAACAAACCAACACCCGCCCAAACAAACACCCACCCATCCAAACAAGTACCCGTCCATCCAAACAAACAAAAACTCACCCGTCCAAACAAACAAATACCCATCCATCCAAACAAACCCACCCATCCAAACAAATATCAAATACGCATTACGCCCCTGTCCAAAGTCCAAACAGACAAACAAATAGGCGTGTAAGAAAAAATCGATAACCTTGAGTATCGCAATTTTATTTTGCAATACTGTACCGATTTTCAGAAATGCAATATCGATAATTTTTTTTTTTTGTGGCTATGCATAGATGCACCACTAGCCTAACGTTTTGCTAAAAACAACATAGCTATGGCTGAACCCCGTGTAAAGACCGGCTCCCGCTCTATTCCGTTCGGAAGTGTGGAATCATTTGGGCTTCCAGAGTAAAGAGAGCGCTACCGATATCGACAGGAACCATGCAGTTTGTGAACTGTGTCTTTACAAGTTCGGCGCGTGAGCAGCGCATATTTTTTTCGGTATCCATGTTAATCAATAAGTGCGTTCATTCACACCGCAAGCAGTAGCCGCGTGTAAGCGTCGAGCAGGACCGTCGCGTGAGCAACAGTGAAACGGGGGTTTCGGCGGAGAGTCTTTAAGGGCGTTGCACACCAGACGATTGCGTGTCTGGTGTGCAATACCTGGAGTTTTCCTAGACGTGGCGCGGTGCTGCGCTTCTCGTCCGGTGTGCAACCACCTAAGTCTATCAAGTTTATGACCAACTTCTAAAAACACATTTAACCAGAGTTTTTTTAATGAACCTGGTAACCACAATCCCAAACTGGTAGTTTGATTTTCTAAGTATTGCCTAAAGTAAACTTGTTTGACTTTTTATATTCTATAATTTAAAACTATATTTGAAAAACTCTGTGTTGAAGTTAGTCGGACCGAGACACGAACAAACAACAACAAATGTGTGTAGCCAATAAGGGTGTCACGATTCCAATTTTAAATTGAAATCGATCGAAATTACTTCACAATCTTGAACTTCGAATTAAAAAAAAACCTCCTCTAACTTAGCTACAGCCATTCAAAAGATAGAATGGCAACTGCAGATGCAGAAGACCCATCAACAGAACTTGAACCCCCTCCTCTTTCATTGAAGTTGCAGACTGTAGAAGTTTTTTGGATTTCCAGTCAGTACTGTTAACAACGTTCGCACTTCAATAAAGCCACAGTTTGCAGACATCCCAAGTCTCGCGGAAGTTCAGGGAGTCTCCTGGCTCCCGCATATTGATGGTGACTCCCTGATGCACATAAATTTGTTAAAATCTCCCGGAATCTAGAGCGAGCAAGAGTGAGCGTGCATGCCGAGACAGAAAAAACTGTGCTCCAAACCGTATTGCGCGCACGGTCGGCAGAGAGGGAGAGAGCGAGAGACCTTGCGTGTGTGCCTCGTGAAGCGCATGTAAGACAGAGAACATCCTGATTCGCCGATTGATAAAAATCGAGAATCGAATCGAACCATGACCTTAGAATCAAAAATGTAATCGAATCGAGGATTTGGAGAATCATGATACCCCTAGTAGCCAATCAGCATTGGGGGTGTATGAGAGAACGAGCAAGAGGGAGATTTGAAGAAAGTCTGCAGAAATAGAAATTGGACACAATAAAAAAGTGCACAATAGCTCATTCGAATATCACTGGAAAATGAAGGGTTATGTTTAGGAAAGAGCTTTAGGACTCTTTAGGTTTAATATTATAAAAGCTTTCCAGTGCCGGAGAGAGCCAAGCAGGAAGGCTTGAAAACAGACATGGAGGTTGCCTTGATTCACTCCACACTAGGGCTGTCAATAAATATTCCTCTATAATACTATTCGAATTCTATTCCATATTTTATGTAATATTCAAATAATATTCGAATATTAAATGCTTAAATTCATTCTATTATTAATATTTACGACATTACACATTCTTATGGATCGCCAATGCCACTATAGCCTGTGGTTGTTGTTACACATTCTGCGCACTAGAGGGACATCTAACATTACTACAATAAACATTTAGATATTAACTACCAGCTCTACAGCGTGCTAACCTCGAAAATACAGCTGTATTCTAATAATAACTCCTTGCATCTTGGCTAATAACTTTTTTAAAGCTGGTTCTCCGACATTAACAGCGCTGTGTTCGACTGATTTGTGCAGCGGTGTTCCAAAGGGCAACATGATCAAGACTTTTGCATCAACATACACGCCACTTTCAAGTCAAGTGGCATGTTATCTATACACATTTTGAGCCATTGAGATCAGTCTGCAAAGGGAAAGAGAGCGCGCGGGACTGGCTTTCGCGCGGCACTCGCAAGGTCTCGTTCTCTCCCTCTCTGCCATGCACGTGCCACAGTATGTTCTTTCTCGCTCTAGATTCCGGGAGATTTTAACTAATTTGCGGGGATCAGGGAGACGCTATCAATATGCGGGAGACTCCCGGATCTTCCCGGATGTCTGTATGGGAAACCCTGATGATAGCCTAACAGCTTGGATAACGTGCACACTTGTGTTACGATTCAAACACTTTATTGTTCATTAGACGAAACAAAAGCATTTCATTTTCAAATGCGTGTAAGCCGCGAGAAAGATTGCATATATAGATTTTTTTTTTAAATATATATAAAAGCAATATTCGAATACTATTGGTTTTTTAAATATTTGAATTATACTCGAATTTCGGAATTCGTTCCAACAGCCCTACTCCACACATGAGTAACACTGCCATTGTTTGACTTGAGCTGCTGTGCTCTTGGCAACAACATAGTCTTGTTTGTAATTTACTATTGTGTACTGTACGTAATTTTTTTTTTGTTCTTCCTTGTCATTCATCTATCATCTGCGCTTTATTTTTCATGAAGCATTATTTTGTCGCACTTCTGCTATGATAAACAGACATCCACTCTTGGATTGCGTACGTAACGAAGGCAGTGAAGAATGCAGAATTTAGCGTCATT